AAAACTGATGGCGAATCTTTTTATTTTTTTTTTTAAGTGACAATTTACAGTTCTTACAAGACACTAATTATTTGGCTGGTACCCACTGTATAGTCCTGGAGCCAGAAAGGACCAGCTGGGAGTCAATTAGTCCATGGGAGAATTTGTTCTTTAAATTAAATAGTTCTTTTTTAAAAATTAAATTCTGTTTTCCCCTCTGCAAATCCCCAAGTCCCCCAAGCAGATGATTCTCGACATTACTTACAGCAATTCCTACTATTAACAGACTGGGATCGGAACACCAGCGAGGTCCCCTTGAAACGCCCGCCTGTCAGAGCCAGTTTCTGGTGGGAAGAGCCTCCATCTGCCCTCTTCCTTCCCCTCATTGAACGAGTGAATGTCAACTAGGCTTGACTTCATTTTTCCATTTTAAAATAGACATTAGGGGGCCTGCTTTTCAGCTTGGATTCCAAATGGTTGAATAGCTCAAAATAAGCTACCCCAGTCCCATTTCTGGGGGCAACATGTTTGTGGGGGGTCATGCCACCTCCCCCATCCCTTCCAACATCTGCCTAGCTCAGCAGGGCTGCCTGGGGGGTCTCCATTTGGGCACACGTGAAAAATTACAGCTATACTGGCCCTCATGATCATTAAAAAAAAAAAAAAAGGTATAAATGTAATTTTCAAGCAGTCCAAGAACTGGAAAAAGTCCATCAGTAATTGAGATTTTGTAGCAGCTGGCTCAGGGGAGAAACAGGCTGGAAGGTCCCCGGCACTGAGAAGCAGCTCATCCTGATCAGCCATGTACACGGGGCTAGGGGAGATGCTCGAACTGGTGCAGAGTATAAAGCACATGCGAACCAGTCTGGTTCATTTACAAACATCTGTTTACATACAGTGAATAAGAACTATTTTCCTGCCTGGCCAGGCCTGGCTCAGCCATTGAGCATCCACCTAGGATCCAGGAGATGGAGGCTCGATTCCCAGTCAGGGCACATGCCCGGGTTTCGGGCTCGATCCCCAGTCAGGGGTGTGCAGGAGGCAGCCACTCAGTGACTCTCTCATCATTGATGTTTCTATCTCTCTCTCCCTCTCCCTTCCTCTTTCTGAAATCAATAGATACATTTAAAAAAAAACCAAAAACTATTTTCCTGATTAGCTTATCTAATTACAAACTAATTTAGTTTATCAAAATAAATAACTGCTACTAGCAGCACCACCAGCAGCCATGTAAAATGACATAGAACAAAAAAACAAATTTTAAATAAAGAGGGAAGACAACCTGAGATGACTAGAGTAGTTGCTATTGGATACTAGCATGAGCTAAATACTGTGCATGAAATTCTCTCCCCAATGTTTCTGCAGGGGAAAGAGATATTGGGCGATTGAACATTCTGTCTGACAAAAGGCAATATTCCCAAACAGGAGACAAGGGTTTTTCTTGTGCTAAATTTAAAAAGTAAACGAAATACTGATCAATAAGGCAGATGCTACCATCTAATGGCATTTCATAAAACAGAGGAACTAGATTTAAATGGATGCTTTCTCTAGCAGTCCTATTAATAACGCTGTAACTCGGTGAAGACCTCTGGAGGTTGGAAAACAATTTGGCCTCAGTCCTCTGCATCCAGGTAATCTAATCTACACATGGACAAAAATCTCTTCGCATTCTCAGAAACCTAGGGAGCCAACAGTTCTTAGACCTGACTCAGCACACTTGTCCTGAGTTTCTTAGAAAAGTAAATTAACGAATTTGGACTGTTTAAAAGTATTTGCTTAACGAATTCGTACTGTTTAAAAGTATTTGCTATATTTTTTTTCAGTAATTTAGACTGTCCTTCCTTCNCGTACTATTTAAAAGTATTTGCTTAACGAATTCGTACTGTTTAAAAGTATTTGCTATATTTTTTTTCAGTAATTTAGACTGTCCTTCCTTCAACTGGTTCTGATTCTTAAAGATTTGGCTATAATTTTAACCACCTTATAAGACTCAATCTTTTATCAGAGCTGTGAGTCAATCATCAAACTGATCTCCTTTTATTGTTTCCATGTTCTGTGTCTTGGGGAAATTTCTAATCGATCAATTAGCAANCATTGTGTGTCTTGGGGAAATTTCTAATCGATCAATTAGCAAAAGGTTACTAGAAAAGGACAAAAAGAATACCATTATGAGGAAATCAAGTTCTGCTGTGGCCACTGCCCCCTTATTAATATCTAAGCTACGGGTAACTGTAGGACCTCAGGCAAATTGCTAACCCTCTAGGTGACACTCTAGATTCTTTCATTCCAATCATCTTTCTCTCCTCTACTTTCAGTATCCAACTCCAGGACCATCATCACTTTAACAGGAAATTAAACACCTTTATCAACGTATAAGTATGCATCGAAATCTTTCTGTTGGAATTTGTGAAATGGCACCTTCAGATGCTTAAAAACCTACCTTCCCTCTCTTCCCACCTCCCTCCCCCGCCTCCCATTCTAAAGGAGTAGCAAAAACAAATTCAAGGTGCTGACATCATCCAATATCCAGATGATGGGCCCTTCGCAGTGGTCACAGGTAGTCCGCCAGCTGGAGAGCTAATGACATAGCAGCTATAAATAATAAACTTGCAGAGAGCCCGAGGGCTTCCTTCCCGGCTGGATCAGGCAGGAATGGGGTTTCCTTTCAAGGGCAGGACATTTAGGCAAGGAAGGAAGGGGGAGCCCTGCAACCATCATCAAAAAGCAGAGGACAGTATTGATCTCACCCCTGGACCGTAATCACTGGCCTGCCTTTCTCATAAGACCTCGAGTACCTTTAACATAAAGACTGCTGCATGTCTGCGTTCTAAGAGCCTGATCCAGTGCCTGACACATGGTGGTGGGCACACCCCCAGCTCCTGGCCTTGCAAAGAAAGGACTGTGTATAACCTGCGTGCATTCGCTTCTAAGATAAGTATATCAGGAAAAAACACATACATGAATGAATCCAAAAATGATAGCTTCAAAACTACAAGTTGATTTCAATAATTCTTAGTATCTGAATCACAGTTCCTGATTGAAATGTATTGCTATACGGAGATATAGGGCTTGTGAGAGCAAAAAATAAAAAAATGTCGTTTTAAAAATTTTACTGCTCTAAGTGGTGTTATTTTTTATTGTGGTGAAATATACATAACATAAAGTTTACCATCCCCACTATCTATTCTAGAACTTTTTTGTTGTCCCAAACAAACTTTGTACCAGTCAAATAATAACTCCTATTCCCCTTCCCCAACCTCTTTAATACTTTCTATCTCTATGAAGCTGCCCATTCTGGGTACCTCATATAAATGGAGTCATACAACATTTGTCCTTTTGTGTCTGGTTTATTTTTACTTAGCATGTTTTCTTGTCCTTTATTTTATTTTTTTTTAAAGATTTTTTATTAAATTTTAGAGAAGTGAAGGGAGAGGGAGAGAGAGAAACGTTGACGTGAGAGTGAAACATCGACTGGCTGCTTCCTGCACGTCCCCCTACCAGGGGTCAAGCCAGCAACCTGGGCATGTGCCCTGACCAGGAATCGAACAGGCAACCTTTCAGTGCACAGGACGACACCCAACCAACTGAGCCACACCGGCCAGGCTTACTTAGCATGTTTTCCAGGTTCAGACATGTAGCATGGATCGGAATAATTATCTATTAATGAGTAAAGTTCTAAATCAAGGTAGAATCAATTAGTTTACCAAAGCTTTAGCTTATATGCATTCTCTCTTTACTTAGAGAATATGGTGACATAAACTCGTCTTTTCTGTTCCACATACGAAGGGACATATACATCAATGTTCTAATATTTTCGCCACTTAATAGAAAATGTCCTCTCTTTCCATTTCACCTCCAACAAATAAGACCACTGATACAGTTGGTAAACTGCGACAGGGAAGAGAAAACTTACACAAAAATCCTTGGACATCCTCGGGGCAGCCGTGATCTGGCCAGTCGGTATATTGCAAATGCCACACCGTCCTTTCCTGCCCAGACAAAAGGTGCTTGACCTTCAAGCCTGTGGTTGCATAGCAACCAGAATCTGTTCGGAACTTGGTGGTGACCTTGAACTTGCCATAGGTGGCTGAGCTGTGCTTGGAGCCCAGCTTGGGCCAGTATCGATGGCTCTTCGTTCGTCCGCCTTCCTGAATCACACACAAAAGCAAAACTGGAAATTAGTCAGAGGAAGGAAGCGCTTATCCTCTTAATCTTAAAATCCGAAGACAGAGGAAAATGTGAATAGCTCCTAAGTCGCTAACTCAGTAGCACTGTGTAGCGTCTACAAGAGATCAGATCCTATAAATCTTAACTAAGACCCATAATAAGATGTACAATGGTAGTTACATCAATGGAAAATGTAAAAGATTCACAACTGAGCTGCAATTGAATGTTAGAGAGAGAAGAGCCAGTGCAAAGTCTAGAGGTGGGAACCAGCTTGGGGTGTTAAAGAAACAGACGGAGGGTGCTAGAGAAGAGGTCAGAAATCTCCTGGTCCATGGTAGGGAGTTTGGATTTCACTCCACAGATGGTGGGAAGCCATCCAAAGGGCATGGAGCGACCTCAGGCAGGGGAGTGACAGAGTGTAGTGGTCATTCTAGGTCACGCTCTGCATTTCTGATGCTCAACCCAGGGCTCTCTCTATTACATCACACTGACTACTGACACTCTCTCTGTCATCTAGTGTCAATCTCATCTTTTTTCCAGCCTGACTCATTTGTTTTAGTACAATTCACCACTGAAAGAGGGAACAAATGAGTATACCCCCTTCCTCTCCCCATTTATTTGATAATCTTTCCTGGGAATATGCATTCTCAATCATTTACACAATGGGTCCCTTTTTAAATTTCTGCAGAGTTTTGAAATCACTGGAGTGAGCGTGGAGGAGATGGGGCGTACAAGGAGGCCCAGGGCAGGGCATGGGTGGAGACAGAGGAGAAACGCTTAGCTGTAGTAGTGAGGGGTCAGCACTGGGGACCTGCTCCTTAGAGAAGCCCGAGGGCTCGCCCACTTACAAAACAACATGTCTTTGGGTGATACAAATAATCTCACCCTGGTTTATCTGGTTGAATCGAGTCTTCTTATGTTTGAAGCAGCCTGCCTCTTTTATTCACCAATCCTGAGAAAGAAGGTTTACCCGAGGCCTTGAATTTATATTATACACTGCCAAGTACCTAAATCAATGTCAAACTTCAAGAGACTGCAAAGCTCTGCTGTCTCACAGATGACTAGACTTTGTGCTCGTGAGGCTGGTCTCTTCTGTCACTCACGGCTTAGCTCAAATGCCACCTCTTTAGAGGGCCTGGGCTGCCCACCTAAAGAAGCCCCTAGCCACTCTGTGTCTCATCACCTGGTTCCATTTTCTCTGTGACACTCACCACTGTCTGAGCTGACTTCATCTGTTCACCTTTCATCATCCCTCCCTCTAGGACGTAAACTCCGGAGGACAGGGACGGTGCCTGTCTTGTTTAGCACCATGGCCCTCGGGTTTGCACAGATGGTGCACTGCATTAAACTGAATGAATTCCTTCCAATTTTATCTACTGCAATTCCAATAGATAAAACTATTCTGGAGATTTTAGGAGAATTTACTCTTTATAGGAAAGTCAAATAGAAGGTCAGAGAAGTACAAGTGGCTTTCAAGAGGTGAAGTTCTTTCCACCACTATCTGTTTTTTTCTTTTAATCCTCCCTTACCCTAGGGTACTTTTTTTAAAATTGATTTTAGAAAGAGGGGAAGGGGAGAAGAGAGAGAGAAACATCAATTGGTTGCCTCCTGTATGCACCCCAACTGAAGATCGAACCCTCAACTTAGGTATGTGCCCTGACCGGGAATCGAACCCACAACCTTTTGGTGCACAGGACAACGCTCAAACCAACCGAGCCACTGGCCAGGGCCATCACTATCTTCTAATGGGCCATTCTGGAAAGCAACTGCTCGGAACAGTCAATGAAGACTGTGGGACTTTATTGAATTATCTCTGTTCCCCACCTTTAAAAATTGTTAGCCAAAGGGTACGTAACACCATAGATATTGGTAAAAACCACACGAAGCTGGTCTTTTAAATGACTTTAAAACTTTAGTTAAAACTGAATGAAAGGAACAAAAGGAAGTGGTTAAGATAAAAAATTGAGAACATGAGAAGAAAAGAAACATAAACGCCTTCCCCCAAAGACAGCAAGCTCCAGGTGAACTGCTCTGCTCGTGGTGTGTGCCCATTTTTACAACACCATGTAGACGTCTCCAATTACAACAAAAAAACTATGTTTGACTTGGCAAAGAAAGAAAAACATTTTTTTCTGTCCCTAGAGAATAAAGGCCTCTACAGGAACAACAGCTTCTGGTCTCTTTTCCGCCGATAAGCAGGACGGACGTCAGCGGGCCATGCCCGTGGTTGGGCCCACGTGCCGATTCACCCAGAGCGGCCGAGGTTCTCGAATCCCAGGGGAAAGACCGTGCTGGTGTTTGGCACACGAAAGTGAGCTGGTTCTTGTTTGCTTGTTTGATTTTAGCTCATGGCAATGCAGGGAAAAGTTAAAAGTTGATGAAAATGGGACGTAACAGAGCATCTTTGGGAAATGAAACCAATCTGTGTGGAAGGGAGAAGGGAAAAGAGGTGCAATGCCAAAGAGGAGGATCCGCAGAGAAACGGGGCTGCGGGAGAAGTACAGAGCAGCGAAGTCCCCGACACAGAGCCCATCTCCGGCCTCCCCGCCCCTGGGAACAGGCGGCCGTCAGCCACTCCCCTTACCTCCTCCGCGGTGACCATGGCGATCACGTTGGCTCCCTGCTCCCACACCATCTGCCAGAAGTCATGGCACGTGTGCGGCAGGGGCCCCTGAGTGGCGATGTAGTGCCATTCTGCCCCGCCAACCACCACCTGCAAGCCAAAGGAAGCATCGGTGAGGCGGCCCCCCATCCAGGACTGAGTTACCTGCTGACCACAGGGAGGCCACGTGGCTTAGTGCCACCATCAAACGCCCGGGACCACAGAGCTACGGAGACATTCTCACATGAAAACGCTATTAAAATACACCTAATCTTTTTTTTTTTGGTCTGCAACCCATAGTAATTATGTACAAACCAGTGTATTTTAAAAGCACACATACACAACACAACCGTATCCAAACACACACACACGATGTTAGATGAATATATGTGTGTGTAACCTACTAGAATTTGTTACAGAAACAATAGTTATGCTTACTATGTGCAATGCACTTTGATAATTTCCATTCTTTTCTCTTCTCTATTCTAGGCTGTTTAAAAAACACACAAAACACACACACCTAAAGTGGTTTTGACTCCAAATGGACTCTACAGCCCACTGAGATACTGTGATCCAGAGTTTGAGAAACAGTGCTCCGTGGCATCCTTTTAAGCAATAAAGACACCCGCCGTGGAATAAGATCTTTCTGCTGTAATGTCTTTCTGCTGCTGACCTGACATGAAGTACGTCATGAGCCTCAGCTGTACCCACCACTCCACGTGCCACATACAGCAGAGAAATCGTGAAGGCACATAAGTCAACAACACATGATATATATATTTTAAATATGTCTTTATTGATTTCAGAGAGAGGAAGGGAGGGAGAGAGAGATACAAACATCAATGATGAAAGAGTCACTGATCGGCTGCCTCCCGCACACCCCCTACTGGGGATCGAGCCCGAAACCCGGGCATGTGCCCTGACCGGGAATCGAACTGTGACCTCCTGGATCCTAGGTCGATGCTCAACTGCTGAGCCACGCCAGCGGGGCCACGATATTTTTTCATTAACAGCATCCACCCAAACTTTGGAGCCATGAGATGGTTCTAGAAAATAAAATTAGTACCCCATGCAGCTCAGAGTGACCCTGGGAGAAGAATTATGCAGCTATAAATTTCAGCGGCAGAAAATCATAAATAAGAAGTTTTGCCCAGAGTGTTGAAGGCCATGCTACCCAGGAGGAACTGTGGCCTCTGCAAGGATTCTGTGTCCCCTTCTATCCTTGCCTCTTGATAGTGCAAACTCAGGCCCCCTCACATGTCCACCAGTGCAGATCTCTAGATAGTTCTAGGAGCAATGAAGTGATCATTGTTTGAAACTTTTCCCCCTCATTTGTTTTATGAAACTATATGCTAACTTGATTCAAATAAAAACAATGTCAGTTATTATCTCATTACACAAGGCATGTTTAGGTCAAAGCTGGCAAGCAAAATCCATTTTCCAAGTACCGGTGGGAGATAACATCCATACAGCTGCTGGCTGGCTAGGAGCTGGGTTGTCTGTGGAGCTGTGATTTTAAACATTAGCCTCTCTGGCACCCAACATATAGGAACCGTAAATACTTCCAGAGTCTGCTGCTGCCTGGGGCCTTCCAGCAAATTCCAAGTATTGACAGGAGGGTATTAAAAACCGCATTAAAAACACAACCACCAAGGCTACTGAGGTAGATTTCACAGATGTGATTCCACCTCTGGAGCAAATAAATCTGTTCTGTGTTAACGGCTGCCTGGAACCCAGGGAGAAAACATTGGCAAGATATACAACTCTATTCCAACAGCACGGACAAGTTCTTGCAAGCTCTGTGGGTCTATTAAACGCACCCATGTCTAACCCGGATCCACGAGATGAACCGTGGGCCTTGGAGAACACTGAGGAAGGGAGCGCTCTGTTCAGTACACCCAGTGGGCACAGCCGATGCACAGTGACAGCTTTTCCCAGACAGCAGATGGAAAATGGGAGAGAAGACTGGGCCAGAGAAGAAGGCGGTGTAATATCACGAAGTAAGAGATCCACAGACATTCTATCAAGAAGCAGCTGTGTGAGTTGCACCCCTGTCTGACTACATTATTGTAGCCACTGTTTCATAAGCTAAATGAAACCCGTGACAAACACCATCATCAGTTTAATCAAGTGTTTCCTGGGGTTCGTTTTTTATTGTTTTCATCCTCAAACATGAGAGTAAAATACGCAATCGGATCCATGACGGCGCTCTTTCATATTTCTTTTGACAGCACTTCCTGATGCATTAAGAAAAATATATGTGGTTATCTATGCCCTGTGTGCAAAAACACTACACCCTTCCTGGGTACACTTTTCATATTTTGTATCAAAACTGTTACAACTGATACAAAACACAGACATTTGGCTGTGTTTTGGAGGCTCAAAGGAATCTACCAAGGATTTGGCTGCAGCTGAAAAGTCGAATAAAGAAAGGAAAGAACTCTGGACAAAGCCAGAAGCAGGTTTTTAAGATTACTGATCATAACCAGACTAATCGTGTGAAGCTTACACTGTTTAAAAACATCCTGTAACAACTGCTTCAACATCTGTATGGAAATAGTTCGACTTCAGAGGGTACAGCACATGGTGATGCTCTAAGTATGTTCTGTTACTGGGGACACTGAGGAAGGTAAGCTATTTAGGAAACATTTAACTGAATGTACACAAGCATCCTTACCTCTGAATTCTAACAGGGTTTCTACGCTGCCTAATTTTAAAGTCTATGAAATGAGATAAAAAGGTATCTGAAATAGTAACAAAAATGTAATGGCCCTAACGCCCTGGATAGTGAGGCAAATCTTGCAAGATTCACTAGCAAACACAACATCAGAGTTTATGTTTAAATCCATCCACGCTCCTAAATACCATGCACACTGGGACTCCAGGCGTCAAATGCATCCCCTTAGTGTGAGAGCGGAGAATGGGTAAGTTTTGTTCCTTCTGAACATCACAAAAACTTCAGTGACAGTAAGGCAATGCCTGTGACTCCCAAGGTCTCGCTGTCTGCTAATTACAAAGGGAAAAGGAGAATCCTCGGGTTTCCCTGGGAGTTTTGGGGAGAGTTATAACCCATGGAGAGAAGAAAATGTAAAATCCTCTGTAAGGAGCAAGCTTCAGAAATAGCTGACCTGAGGTCCCCCCAAGGCCGCTAGCTTCCTTCTGTCTGCAGCGCTAGGCGCGCCCTTCCAGGTGAGTAAGAAACACCCAGCAGTTCAAAACCATTCCCTCGGGGTCTGGGGACAAGCCAAGATGCACAGTGGCAGCCCATACTACAGTTTTTTCTTCCTGCATTTTTACCTTTTAACCCAGCCATTTCCTTTGCTTTTTTTTTTTTAAACACTACGTTTTTTGGGGGTTTTTAAAATATGTTTTTATTATTATTGAACTCAGAGAGAGGAAGGGAGAGGGAGAGAGATTGAAACATCAATGATGACAGTCACTGACTGGCTGCCTCCTGCACGCCCCCTGCTGGGGATCGAGCCCACAATACAGGCATGTGCCCTGACCGGGAATCGAACTGCGATCTCCGGGTTCACAGGTTGATGCTCGACCGCTGAGCCACGCTGGCTGGGCTAACCCAGCCATTTTCGACAGACCTTCCCAGCACACTCCCCGGCTCACCTTGATATGGGAGGCGTTAATGTAACCTGTGTTATTTTCTTTGGTCGGTATCAGCTCCACTCGATTCTCCTCATAGGGAACAACTTCGCGGATCCGGCTGCGCTCAGCATTCTCTGGCAGAGCCGCTGTGCTGAAAATGCCATTCGCCTTTTTCTTTGGGATTTGCTCATATTCTGTGAACACCATTCCCTCTTCCAGCTTCTTCTTCAGGGTTCTGAACTGCAACAGAAATTAACCTTCAGCTCACTGAATGATCTCATCCCAACAAAACAACAGGATTTCTTTAAATATTGACGGTGACGGTGCTAATAGGTAGTTTCAAGATGTCCAACTGATGCTTGATTATTTGGTCTCATGATTAGTGCTAGTTTCTCTTATCCAATAACCAATTTCCTTCCCACTCATAGCTTCAGCAGGACAAATCTGCATGGCCAGGCAAGAGGTGAAATTCAAAATTGGTATTTGTGTTATTAACACCTCTGTTTAAAGTCTTAATGTAAGGAGACTGTTATTCTTGATTATCCAAACACCCTTTCTTTTCTCCATGTACATAGCCCCTTTTACTGAGCTGAATTTTAAGATGATGCTGGTCCACAGTCCTGCACTTCTGGGGATTAACCCCCACCCCTTTTATTTTTCCCACGGACAAACTACTAATCACAATGATAGCTATTAATGATAGTTAAGTAGTTCTTCTAAAGTCCCTTCTGGCTTTAAAAACATTCTAATACTTCATGTATACCGACAGGAATCTAAGATCTTCATGTCATTAGCACGCGAAGCCTGCATCTTTAACCACTGTAAAGGAACACTTTTCTCACCTCTAAACCACTAACATTCAGCTTCAATAGCATATTAAAAGAATTCTATAAATGCTTGGGTAAAATACTCACTTCCTAATCAATGCTAATCGTTCATAAAAATCAAAGAAACTGAGAGCTACAGCAGTTGTTGAATTTTCTTGGTTTGCAAAAACGGAAAGAGGCTCGAAGAAACTGAGTGACTTGACCCAGGGCACTAGGCCTGTTAGGGGCGTTAGGGGTCTTAGGGGCTGGCCTCTCAGGGAGTCATCACCGTGCCAACTTGACAAAGAAACAGGAGACACTTGGAAGGGACCCATTTAATACAACACAGTTATAGTCTAAGTCTTGCTATTCTCAACTTGAAGAATTAATTCATCAAATAAACCCTAGTGCTGGCATGTTTGGGCAGGGAGAGAGCTCTGGAATCGCAGAGCACAGGAATGAATCACATGCTTGACAAGCCCAGTGCTTACCCTCTCGTCCATAGGAATCCGGCTGCCGTCGACTCGACTGTCTTCCCGCCCCGAGACCCGAGCAACCGAGAGTCCATTCAGCGCTGCCAACATCAGCGGCCTCTTCTGCGCCTCCAGGCCTGCCATCTTCTGCTTCTCTAGATTCTTATGGCAAGAAAAGGCATGTTCTCATTGTTTATAATACCAGTACAGTTCTGGAATGTGTTTTAATCTCCCCAAATCTGTAACTCCCCAGCCAAGGAATGCAGACAACCACCATTAGTAGGGCGAATTCAAACACAGCCTCCCCATTAATTCCCACAGTGCCCGAGGAAGCCCATTCCTATAGGACTCCTGTGCTTTTATTTTAAAGCAGATGATAAATGAACAAACAAATAAGAGCAAAGACTGTGCACAACTACATTCTGGAATAGGGGGTTCACAAAAAATAAAAATAAAAAAAAATTAAAATAAAAGCAGTGTCCAAGCAAGGTACTTTAGGAAGGTAAGGGCTACAGGAAGACAGGACCAGGAAAAGAGAAGCAGTTTCACGAATAATGTACTCCAATCACAATGAGGGGCCTTTTATACAGATCAAATGGTAAAAACACAACAAAACGTAAACACTGTTCAATGTCTTGTTAAGAGGTCTGGATACATAAACTGTAAAGAAAAACCTGCTCAGGTTTCCATTCCGAGGGGCTAAATGGGAGGATGTCAACCTTATACTGAACCTCTGATCCCTGAAATGTCATCCTCAGAAGGAGGGCTGACGTGGCTCAGCCACCTGGCTCACGCCGAAGCCTGGGCCACCTAAGACGACCACCAGGCATTCCCTTCAGGCTCCACCCGGAGGATGGAACGGACACCATGGCCCCCAAAGACCATGGCGGAACCTCACTGATGAGACCAGGCCATGGGAGGGCATGGGTTTGGGGCTAAGCAGACCATGTAGGGAAGAGGTCTGGATGTTGACACCTGGCCCTCTTAGAGCATCTCCCAAACATAATTATGTCTCGGAAGTCAGGAGAGCAGAGGGACTCCATGAAGCATGCAAACAGGAGTTTCACAGTGTGAGAGTTTGATCCACGCAGGCGTGAAACCAATCTGCAGACTCCTTTGGCCACCACAGAGGAAGGGGCCATCTTATCCCTGGTTTCTTTTCAAGCCTTTAGGTATCTTTTTTCTTGGTCTACCATTTATAAATTGACTCCCCAGAGAGCAGTGTCTTGATGGAAGCATGGTGCTGGCAGAGGGCAGAGTTAGTGGATCACTCTGACCATGGGTCTGACCAGGGGATGGCATCACACTCTTCCCCTCGGTGCCCCCTGGGGTCAGAATGGAGCCCTGGTTTGTCTGATGCTGCCCGTGAGATAAGACACTTACTCCAAGGACAGGGCCGACCCCTCAGACAGACAAAAGGAGCTTTTCAGAGGAGGATTAGCTGTGACGAAGTGAGAAAAGTACTGACTGAGGGTGTAATACTCTTAAAAATAATGACCCTGGTTTCTCTATCCCAGGCAGATTTTGAAAAATTTGAATTTAGATTTTTCGGTGTTTTGTTTGCTTTTAAGTTTGTTTTTGTGAGAGAGAATTTTTTTTCCTGTTAACTCGTTATTGGGAATTGGTTCCACAATTCTGCAAAGTTTTTCGGAAAATGTGCCTAAGGTCCTTTTGACAGTGCTCTCTGTCCCAGGTACAGTGACTAACTGGGCTGAAGACAAAAAGTCATAAACTCGCCCAGGGGGGCTGAAAGCCCAGTGATAAACTATATCTCTTAGCTTCTTCTCACCTATCGCATCAGCTTATTGCCAGAGATTAAAAACAAGTAACTCCAAGATCTGATCTGTCCCCTCTCTTCCTTGCAGCTGATTCCGGGTTTGGGGGGGAAGGCGGCTACAAAGGCGAAATGTCTTTAGGCAGCAGGAGGAGCCAGAAGGGGAGCTACCGAGACAGCCGACCTGAATCATCCATTAAATAGACAAGCAGCTCCGGAATTAGGGAGAGTTGGCCGCAGGGCAAATTCTCACCATACTTGCCTCCCCCCCTCAGGTTCCCATTGAGTTTAATTTTCTCACTGCTTTCTTATCCTAGAGAGGCCCACACAGCCTTCTCTTCTTATTTATTTCTGAGAAGCCAGGCAAAAGCTGCCCATTGTGGGGAGGGCAGGGAAGTATCTGAGATGTGAGGAGGAGACTGGGGTGAGCCTCTTCATAAAAAACCAGGTGCAGAACCACCTGGCACTGCCCCATCATGCCTGGCCGGGTTTGCTGAAGAAGCTCCTCAATCTGCCCTGAGGTCGGGACACCAGCCCTTAGGGGGACAGTCCTTAGCTCCCACTATACAGGACTTGGGGAAAATGTCAACGGGTAGATTGAAGTAAGGCTGGGGTGACGATGTTCCTGAACTACAAAGTTAAGGGGTAAAATCAGCTTCACTGCTATCTCCACGGATGGGACGGGACAGCACCTGGGACAAGCAGTGGAAACCCCCTGCTCCTTTGTTATCCATGAAACTCTATATAGGGAACCAGTGCCATGAGTTTGGCTACAGGCTTTTGTTTAATACAGGTAATAAGAGAAGTGGAGGGATTTGACCAAAATGAGGCTACGGGACCATGAGGGCATCAGTAAATATCAAGTGAGCAAAGCTTAGACTGAGACGCTCAGTTGTGTTAAAGGAGCCCGGGGCCAAGAAGTGCTAAAAATCCCTTTCTACCAACAAACTGTTCTTTCCAAGCTGGGAAAGCACTCCCCCAAGGCACCCACCCCTGCATTTTGTTCCCCAGCCAAAAGGTTTTATTGTCAGAGGCCCAAGCACATCCTTCACAATTTCCCTCCGGGTTTACAAAAAGTGGAAAAAGTTATTCCTAGACCAAATTCTCAGCACCACTCCACTGATGGCCAAAACTGTGAGGCCGAGGATGTTCTTAAGGTTTGTCTAAAGTAATAAAGTTGGTATGGATTAGATTCCTGAACCCAGATTCCTTACACACTGGCCCTCTACTGTTCTTTTCAGGTTGACTCCCACTGCGCATGTGTGTATGTATGTACGTATATATGTGTGTGTTCACATACATGTATCTGAATTCTTAATAAACTAAGCTTAACGGGGAGTTGAAGCTCAATGGTAAACTTCCAAATTTATTGTAATTTCCTTGGCTTTGTGTTAAACATCTATTAAAAAAAATCTGAAAATCAAGCTGGACACATTGCAGTCCAGTCAATATTGGTGAGCTCCCCTGACATACAGATCAACAGACACAGAAAGCTCTCAAGGATGTTTAATATCTAACTTGGGGGGAGGCGATGTTTTCCTCTGGAAAAACAAAAAACAATACCAACAGGTATAAGAAGGTGAGGTCCTCGCAGCTCACACAGGAAGGCTGATCCTGAGTAAATGCAAAATGCTGGCCTGGACCCCATCTCCACACCACCGGGCAGGGACGCCCGAGCTCCACGGCTGCGCTTTGTACCACGTGTGCCCATCAGCATCCACGCGCGGGATGGAAGACTTATTTGAAGGGGCCAGAACGAAGTTTTGTAAAATGAAATACTACCTGTTTAAATGCCAAGGGACCCTCTAAATCCCTAACGCCTTCCCTGAACGAGCCTCGACCCTTCCTCGGCGTCTACAGCACGTGCTCCCACTGTGAACTTTCTCACGGACACGGAGCGGAGGCGGCTGCGGGGAGACCCCCGTGCGCAACGGCGCCCCCAGTGCCGCGGGGGGATGGCACTTACCCGGATCATCATCTCTCTTTCTATAATGCTGTCCTCCAGCGAGAACATCTCGGACACAGGCCTCTCCTTCACGGGCTCTTTCTTGACCCGCTCCTTCACGCTCGTCAGGTCGGGCTCGGAGATGGACGGGCCCAGGGAGGACCCGTTGACGGCCAGCTGCTCGGGTCGCGAGACACTGATGGCCTTGGCCGGCCCGTGCCGCAGCACCCTGGCCCTGGCGATGGCGGGGGGCAGGCTGACCTGGTCTTGTCTCAGCGCCCCGTTGCTGACGCTCTTCCTCGGGCCGGGGTACTCCGGAGGGGGCTTGTTGGGGATGCGGGCTAAGGCCGCCTGCAGCTGGGCGCTGTACTCCATGTTGTCGCGGAGCCCAGGGATCCGCGCCACCGGCTCCGCGGTCTCCTCCTCCTCCTCGCTCTCACTGCTGTGGATCAACATCGTGGCGTCCGAGAAGGTCTTCTTGTGGTGATACTGGGGCAGCTGGGGGACCTCGTGGCCCCCGGGCGCCTCCTTGGGCGGCCCCTGCTCCCGGAGCGTGTTGCGGCGAGCCATGGGGATGTTCAGCGACTTGAGCGTCATCGCCTCCATGCCCCGCACCATGCTGTTCATCACCTCCAGGCTGTGGCGCTTGTTCACCGCGCCGTGGTGCTTGGTGGCCGTGAGCGGCTCGCTCACTTCCTGCAGCGACTGGTGCACCACGGGGGCGCTGTCCTCCTGGAAGGTCTTCACGGACAGCTGCACTTTGCGGGTGACCAGGTCGGGGCTGCTGCCGCTGACGTACTTGTGGCGGTGGCTGGCCAGGTCTGGGGTGCTGGTGGCGGGGCGGGGCCGTGGGTAGGGGGGCGGAGGCCTGAAGAGATGGTTTTTGAGCATGTGGGCCGTGTTGTAGTTATGGGCGCCCTGGAGCTGCATGTTGGCCAGCTCTGGGGTGCTCACTGTGTGGGAGATGGCACTGGCCCCTGGCTTGCAGGGCACTGAGCTATTCTTTGGGTTTATCTGGTCAGACGGGCCGACAAGTTTGTTACTGTAGCCCCCCTGCGGCCCGTAGGGGACAGTGTAGGGGTGCCGCTCCCGCATCTCGGGCTGGCTGTACACCAGGTCCTCCGGCTGCTTGTAGGCGTGGGTGTTGATGATGTTGAGGTTGCGCAGCGACTGGCTCTGGCTGTCCGTGTGCATGACCCCCCTCTTCATCTGGCGCATGACCGTGTCATAATCGGGGGTCGGCCGGTAAGACGGCACGATGATCGCGCTGTGCCGGTGGCTTGGGATGTAGTCAGCCCGCATGATGTCACTCCCGGGGATGCTGAGGTTGGAAGAGACAGGCGATGCCTGGATGAAACTCTGGGAGCAGTTCAGGGAGTTGACGCTGTGGACGCTGCACACGCTGCCATTGGTGATGGTGCCGTTTAAATAATTTAAGTCCAGGCTGTTGTGAGAGTTGCAGTAGAAGGCATCTTCGTTCCCATGGAAAATGCTGTCTGCAAGAGGTCAGACAAAGGCACATGAACCTCCACACCGTCCTGCTTCAGTTAAGTTCATACACTCGAGGGGGGACTTTTAAGCGAAATGAGTCATAAAAAGTGCAAACCCACGATCTCCACCCTCATATTCCGTAAAACCTGACAATTTCTTGGATGAGATGCCAACGTACGGAAGGAACATTTTAAATCACGCTGAAAAGGAAAAGCGAATCTAAGCAAAGAAAGCAACGAACATTTGGAATAGATGCCCCCGTGGTAGGTTCTCGATTTTGCCACGAGCTTTGAAATCAGGCAGCAAGCATGGCGTCCACGTTGGGTGGACCTGTTCTCTCGTTCAGGGCTCAGCAAAAGGACTGGCTCTCTCGGCCAAAAAGCCAAGAACTTTAACAGGGCGACAGATCAGAAGTTACTGTGTACTTGCAGCTGATCTACAATGAAAAAGGACCCTTTACCAGAGGGACTGCTAAGCCATCATAAAGACACAAGATAACTAAGGTAGCCAGGATGTCGGCAGGCATGGCCACCGCCTTCTGATCAGCAATCAAGTTTCTGTCACCATGAAAACCTGACCAACTGTTACAAGCTNGCTGTGTACTTGGAGCTGATCTACAGTGAAAAAGGACCCTTTACCAGAGGGACTGCTAAGCCATCATAAAGACACAAGATAACTAAGGTAGCCAGGATGTCGGCAGGCATGGCCACCGCCTTCTGATCAGCAATCAAGTTTCTGTCACCATGAAAACCTGACCAACTGTTACAAGCTTTGCGACACCGGCAACGAGGGTGAAGGGTGCTCCCTTGGGCTTGGCTGCCACTCCCCCGTCTCTGAGCTCACTTATGAGAAGGAGAAGAGAGCCCTCCTCACCGTCTTCTCCCAACTCCCTTTGCAGCCAACTCTGGGGAAATTTCTCTCTCGGGGGTAAATGGTATTCTATGCTTTTCATAAGTTGAAGCTGCTGCTTGCTGCCACTCAGACAATGGCAAGATTAAAAGCGAAAGCATCACTGTCATCTAAAAAAAAAGGATTCTTCACTGCTCAGCCTTAGGAAGGGAAAGTGGCAAGCCCGAGTTACCTTGCGAAGTGTGTGTTTCCGAGTAGTGTTCGCCACACTGGACGTGCATCGGAGGCAAGATGTAGGGCTGCTGCCGGGGCTGAAACAGAGAACAGAGCACAGGGGGTTGAGCCTCCGCCCAAATGGCCCTCCCCTGTCGCGGAGAACCAGCCGAGCGCACGACAGTGCCCGTCACTTACCCGCGTCTGCAGGGGAACACTGGGGCTGCTCGGCCAGCTACCCTTGGCCCAACCCTCTCCCCCTCATCCTACCCCCACCTCATCACGAAGCCAGGGCTCAAGAGACAAGACGGGAGAAATACGGAGGCTGGTTCAAGGTGAGAGAGACAAAGAGGCGACAATCAACATGAGCACATCTATTTATAATCTATTTTCTAATACACTTGCAAAGCTCCCAACGCCTTTTTTTCTAGAACAAAAATTCATACATGAGTAAAATACATTAACAATGGCTACGAAAGGCTGAACCGTTCAGAGAAATTTTAGTGTAACCAAAGAGACCCACTATCTCCAAGAAACAAATTGCTTTTGTTCCCTAAATGAAACAATGCTGATCTAAAACTGACACTGTCGTCGTTGTTTTTTTATTTTATTTTTCAATTACAGTTTACATTCAATATTACTTTGTATTAGTTTCAGGTGTACAGCACAGTGGTTAGACAATCATATTGGGGGGAACACTTTGTAAAGTATATGATTGTCTAACCAATGCCTTTCTTCAAGGAATAACACAGAATACATATTATTAGGTTCCATGTAAGAAGTAATGAGAACAGGGGGCACCTTGTTTCATTCTGTTCAAAACTGCCTCCCTCCTAGAGCCACAAGCTAGGACACATCACCAGAGCTGCACTTATGACCCAGTGCACAGAACCACATCAACCTCCAAGAGGGATGGGGTAGCGATGGACTGGGCCCACTTGCAAATTTATGTAAAAATCAGAAATGTATTCCACAGCAATGAGCATGTAGCTCTCAAGACCACATACTGGCCTTCCCATTGCAGAACCAAATGTAGAGAATCCAATTCAACCCTTTGTCCCTCCAGTGAAGAGTCTTTTCCATAAGACTCTTAAAAATGGCCATTTAGACTCAATCTGAGTAACTTCTGGCTGCAGAGGAAGGTAAACTTTTAAAGGACAAAAAAAAAAAAACTTAGATGAGTTCAATATTTGGTGAGCCAACAAAGAAAATATAATCATATTTTACTAACGTCATCCAAAGCAAGTTATTTAACTTCTGTAGTTCTCAGCTTCCAGTCAATCAAGTCAAGCCCCTCCCTCCCCCTATCTCAAACATGACCCATTTTATTTTTATATTGGGGTCCCAGGTGAGGGTTTGTTAGAAGAAATAGTTTTGATACTAAAAAATTTTAATGTAAACCACCAAAAAGGATGATCTCTTATATTTCAATCTGATTATTTTAAAATTAGCCTTATTAGGTATTCATTGAAATGTGACTGCTTTCGGAGAAAAGCTGAGATCAAGCCAAAAAAAAAAAAAAAAAGCCAACGCCAGCAGGGGTCACACTTTCTCAGTGTCTCTCTACGGAAGATGAGCGCTCCCCAAAGTTGTTTGAAGCTGGGTAAATAACTTATCTACCATTTCCTCCAGTACAAATAATGCCTCAGCATCAAAAGGGCAAATAAAGAAGGTAATAATAACAAGGGATCCAAAAGTTAAAAAGAATCCGGGAGAAGAAATAAAGAATTGCAATTAACGTAAGAAAGTTCAGGGTACCAAAGAGAAGGTGTTATAACAGCTCTCCTAAATATTTCCAAATCTCCCTTTGGCTGGGTTTTGAGTTGCAATTTAAAAATATTTTTCCTCTCCTTAGTAATACATATTTCAACTCAATTTTTCCAGGGTAGGACAACCAGTTTTGAGGCTTAAAAAAACAACAGTGGGGAGGGATTCATACAAGGGAATAGAAATAAATGGCAGGCAATGTTGGTTCACTGCCTTCTCTTGCTCTTACTTAAAAAAAAAAATTCTGCTAAGTAAGGTACTGTTTATGAACTGGCAAAAGATAGCAATAAGTAATCCTCCTGATACCATTTCAGGGTTATTTTATTTATTCCATCCCTTAAATATTCTAATATATTATCCTATTTCTTTCTAGACCTGCTAATACAAAAAGCAATTAGAGACTATAATACAGTCAGCAGAAGGGCAAGAGAAGAGTAATCAGGCAGCCTGGTTATCAGCAGGGAAGCCAGAGGAGACAATGTTCTCTGGCTTTCCTCTCATCCCGAGGAACTCTTGGTGAAATGGTTTAATCCTAAAGGGCAGAGGAAACAGAGAAGCCAGGATTTCTGCTTCCTATAGACCGTCCCCATCCACATAACAGAGGAAAGCCTCAGCATCTTCTCTGGACATTTAGAATGAGATTAGAAAGCCTTAGAATACTTTGTTTGCCTCCCATGGTGTTCCATGGACATAAAGGAAAAATTATCTCACAAATAAAGACACGTGCAGTCTAAAGAAGGGAAAATTAAAATAGCATGAACAAAGGAGTAGATTAAGGGAAGCAGTGCCATGAACAAATCTACTGTTACGCCAGGGGAAGAGCTCAGAGGGAACCCTTGATTCCAAATCAAGGACCCCGTGTGAGATTTTGTGCTTACTGTCGAGATCGGTAACACTCACATGGGTACTCAGAAATTACTACGTGCTGATAGAATGGCCCAACTCTAGAATTCTAGGAGTTCATGTCTATGCATTTCCCCCCCAAAAAATAAATAAATTCCTCAAAACTTTCTTTTTAAAAGACAAGTTAAAGATATGCAATTCTTGTATACCCTGTATACATTGTGATAAAGAAAAATCCAATTTTATTTTCCTATCAACTCAAAGGAATGGTTCATCTAGAAAATTAAAAGGCCACGAGTTTATTTTAATTATGTATAAAAAAATCATAACCCAAATAAAGAATTACGACTTAAAACAAGTAGAAAACTTTAAAGGAAATCAATTCTTTGACACCTTCCTATTATGTTATCTTTAAGTAATCCTCAGAATAAAACACGGCCTAACACAAAACACATGTAATGAAATCAGAGTTGTGGTTCCATCTTGCACATGATGAAAAGAGCAGTTAAAAAAATTTTGTTGCCCTTAAAATCGGAAAATGTGCCATTAATCTTCCCTATCAAAGACTTTACCTGAGAACATCAACTAGAGTTACTGAATTTCCCCTCATTTAAAAAGTATTTTCTGCTTTGGCCAGTGTGGCTCAGTTGGTTGGAGCATTGTCCCGTACAAAAAAAAGGTGGCGGGTTCAATTCCCTGTGGGGGGCACATGTGGGAGGCAACCCATCAATGTTTCTCTCTCTCTCTTCCTCTCTGTCTTTAAAAAATAAAATCAATTAAAAAAAATTAAACAGCATTTTCTGATTAGTGTACTAAGCTCAATCTATGGCACTGAATACAAAAGAATTTGTGGAGTTTGAAGACATGCCTCCATGTAACAAGCAGAAACAGTGATAAAACAACAGATGAGAACCCGTGGACAGAAACAGTAGGTCCCATGCTGAAGGAACATGGTCCCATCACCCCGGAATAAGACTTATACTCATGGGGCTGAACCCTGAGCCTCACTTAGAGAAGTGATGACCACGGTGGGCACCACGGGACAAGACGGGTGTGCATCGTGCCCACTTGGCAGATGGATGCCCTTCTGCGTTCTCACTTGGGCATGATGCCCTAGTCACCTCTCCTCTCAAATTAGCAACAAAGGACTCTCCATCCCCAACAGAGAGGCTACTTTTGATTGCTGAATATTTTATACGTACCAGAGAGGATCGGCTCCAGGTGGGCTGGCGTCTGATGGGGGGTGGAGAATTTGATTGTCTACAGAAAAAGGTGAAAAATAAGGATGGTTATTAGTTCCTAGATACAAGACAGACAAGAGACGGAGAAAAGGGGAAAACTATCAGCAAAGCATAAGCATTATTTCTGGGTGGTCAATCTAAGGACCATTCCGATTTCCTTTTTTATTCCTTATCTTCCAAATGTTTGGGACATACTGTGCTTTTACAAAAAGTTTAGGAAGTCCAACTAAAAGAATGAGGCTTATTTCTAAAGAAAGATTATGAGGGAAATAAGAAAGGCAAACATGTTACCATTGTTATTACATGGATTTTTAAAAACTGTATTCTTTGTACCTTTGTGTATGTGTAAAATCTTTCATAATAAAACAAGAAGAAAATTATTCTTAAAATACTGCCAGTAAAAGGAAACAATAAAAATCCCAAATAAATTAAATATGTTTGAGGTATAAAGGTACTTTTAATTAAGATCATACGTATTGCAAATATTCATCTGATCAGATCCTTTCCAGACTGAGAATCAATCTGATTTTTTTTTCAATGTAGAGAGAAAAATGAGTGGGGATTAAGAGTGTTATCAAGTTCTTAAGAAATCGAATCAAAGGTGCCTTTGAGAAATAAACCCAAATTCCAGAATTACATTTTCCAGCCCAGCCGGGCGTAGCTCAGTGGTTGAGTGTCGACCTGGGATCCAGGTGATCGGGGTTCGATTTCCGGTCAGGGCACATGCCCAGTTCCTGGCTTGATCAATGACTCTCTCATCATTAATGCTTCTATCTCTCTCTCTCCCTCTCCTTTCCTCTCTCTGAAATCAATAAAGATATATTTAAAAAAAAAAAAAAAAGAAGAATTACATTTTCCACTATCCTCACTGAATCCATTAAAATAATAATAATTAAAACAGGACATACAGAGTTGGCCATCAACCTAATTTCTTCACTTTAAAGCACTCTCCTTATTCTGATATTTCACCTTTCCTACCTTTTTGGTGATAAAATGTATTTTTTTAATGAAATGATAAAAACGATATAGCAATATTGGATTTTTTAAACTGGCCAAATATAATATTATTAGACCTACTGTTAGACACTCTTGCCTCTCCTCTCTACATTTTCTTCTAACCAAGTCAAGAAATATTGGTACCAGTCCCTGGAGCTGTATGGGAGGTGAAAAGCAGTAACTGTGTGAGAGAAGTCAGAGAGTGGAGACCTCTCGAGAGGGATGCTGTTAAGATGATGTTAGTTTTATAAAACTCCAGAGGGATGTCCCAGGCCTTAATGTAGCCTGTACTAAGACTCTGAAGCTGTATTCGGAATTTACTGTGTGTGTGTGGGGGGGGAGGTGCAGTTTTAAGAGAGTCCCAGTTTTTATCAGGTAAGAAGTTAGGAACCTCCCATAACTAGTTAGGAAGAAGAAAGGAATGGTTATTACAAAAGTAGAAAGGAAAGATATAATTTCCTTAGTTTTCAGTCTAATACGTGACGTTCACCGATATTCTAAGAGAAGACTACCAAAAAAAATACAAATAATAAATTTTATAGTAAATCCACTTGCTGAGAAATGGTCAAACCAGAATTTGATTTGAGTAAATTTCGCTTCTCCACATATTTTTTAATTCGCCTCACAGAAGTTGACTACAGAATTCTTGTTAATGTGAAGGGGACCCCCACAAATGAAAGGCAACAGCAAAGTGGAACTGCAAGGAAAGGACCCAGAGGGAGTCTGCCCGCTAGACCGGCCGGCGTGGGCATGTGCGCGCTCGGGAGACAGCTCTGGCTTCCTAATTTGCCGCTCCCCGCTCAGTGCTCTTCTGATTTACATGTGCAGACTTGGCTGGCAGATCTAATGCTGTCAAACACGCTTCCAGCCTCTGACAGTGGCCAAGTGCAGCGGCTGCTTTGAAAGGGCCTCCACCGTGTAGAGAAAAGGGTCTGCAGGGCCCGATGACGCGCTTCTAAAATGCGCTCTCCAGCAGGAACCGCGTTAGGGCCACACTTGCACGCTCTTGGATGTGTCCACTGGGGGAGTGGAAAGGCAGTCCTTCCCTTGCATTTACATCCCCGAAGTTCTTTGAAACAAAATTAAACACGTTGGGCGCCCCAACCACTGATGTACTCTGCTGAGGAGCATCTTTTGAAGGCAATCAAGGTAAAGGCAACATTAGCGAGAGCCCCAGCACGCTGTATCCAAGGTCAGGTCACATTTAAGTTCCCTCATCAGACTCCCCTTATCATCTTTATTTCCAAATGAAGCTTAAAACACGCACACGGATTGGTGACATCTATCAGTGTCCTCCAAGTCTTCCTCTAATTACCCTGGCCTCTCATTTACAGGGAGATGACATGACCCAGGAGCACACGCAGGGTTACCCAACTGTGTAAGCGAAACGGGGCTGAGGATGACAGCAGCTTCTTCTCTTTCAAGCTGGCTCGTCACTGTGTCACACACTTCTGAACATCCTCTGCATCTGACACGAAGGGGCACCCTGGCAAATTGGGAACGAACCGCTTGGCTCCTCCAAACTCATCGCGGAGGTTGGAAAGGCACTAATGGTGACAGTGGGCCAAGCCATCCAGGCAGTCAAACATTCAGTCAATTTGTGAATTATCTGCTCTGTAGGCACAGGTACTAACTACACCACACGGTCTCCATCATTTAAGCTCTCTCCCTCCCGCCCGGCTTTAACATACTCCTCTAGCTTCTACGAGGAACAAGGGAAAAGAGTGAACGGAAAAAGCAATCTACAACATCCCTAAAGCACATGAATTTAATCCGACCAAACCATCCGCGGAGGGGGCGCGTGAGGCGTTTACTTACTCAGTGCAGATTTTGTTTTGTTTGTAAAACTTGTGCCGTGTAGCAAACAACCGAGAAATGTACTTGGCATTTTCAATATCATCCTTGGGAAAGAAGAGACGGAGAAAAAAAATAAACATTTATTCAATGATACACACATTTGACAAGGATTCCTCTAAACAGGGACACACCCCTTCCTCCCTTCCTGTCAATCACAAAATAACACCCTGAGGCACAAACCAACGTGCTGAAATTCAGGGGCAGCCACGCGCATGAAGGCCACCAAAGGATGACAAGACAAGACTGTCTGCTAAAGACTCCTTTATGCCCAAGGCGTTGGGGTTATGGTGATGAACTGGCATGTTTCACATAATTCCAAACCAAGGGCTTTAAAAACAAATGAATGAAATGAATGAGCCCAGCCGAGCATGGCTCAGTGGTAGAGCGTCAACCTAGGATCCAGGCGATCGGGGTTCGATTCCCGGTCAGGGCACATGCCCGTGTTGCGGGCTAGGTAGCTGATCAATGACTCCCTCCTCATTGATGTTTCTCTCTCTCTCTCTCCCCCTCTCCCATCCTCTCTCTGAAATCAATAAAGATATATTTAAAAAAATAAAAATAAATAAATGAATGAACCAAGGCAGAGCACGGAATGAGTACCAAAGCATCATTGAAGGAGAGGCAGGGAAATGCAGGAACAGCCTTGGCTCTCGAGGAGGCCCTCAACAGAAGGGCCATTGATCAGCTGACTTCGGACAAGGCTTGGACTATGATGGGAAAGAAAATCCAGGTCAGACAGCAAAAGAAAATGCCATGCGATAGAATCCGGGGTTAATGATGAGGGCTGTAACTAGAGTGCTGAGGAAAGCAGCCTGCCAGACAGACAATGCAATCCATCACAAATAAGGCAGGTCGAGGAACCCAAATCCGAGTCAAACCTCAGATTGAGAAGCAGGCGTTCTGAACGTGAAATCACTACCACTATCCTGGAACGAGTAATGACAGCACTGGGCAAGGGTTGGAAGTTTCGGTTCAATGGAATATTCACTCTCTCAAGGTATGGAGAGCAAGGAAAGGATGTCACGAGTTGAGAAGGCAGAAAGCAAGCTGCCCGTCGCACCCCGCTTTGCCCGTCTTGCTTACCGTGTGAAAGGGCACAGTCTCTTCTTTGTTGATGAGCTCCACCAGAATGGTCGACTTGTTATGCGTGATATTCCCCATATCGTTCCACCTGGTCAAAAGAAAGACAACTGTGTTAGCCCCAAGAAGGTCCATGCATTTATGAATCTGCACAGGAGGGTCCCTGGCTACTGCTGAGTCTAATTTTATAAATGACGACTTCGCTCTATTTTCAAAAGTGAAACGTTCCTTCCCTCAAGGCAGAAAAAAACACGCCTCCATTTAAATAGCTAAAAATCCTATGTGAACTATATCTAGATGCTGTTGTCCATGAAGTATTGTTTCCTCCCTAACTAGTCGGAGGGACATTTGCAAGGGCCTTCTTCTTGTTACTCATGTTTCCAAACTGATGGGGTATTTCTCGTGATCCCGGCTTTTAATGATGGAGGAACATTATTTGAAGGCCAGATGTTCCCGGAATCTAGGCAAAGAACCCACATGGATCCAGTGCTGTAATGTACATTACTGATATGTCACCCAGAAAAATGCCTAGGAGGTGAGTGTTTAACATGCCTGCATTGCTGTGAACTAAACCCACACAATCCTTCTGTTTCCTCATGGAGACCTATCTAAAGTGTGATGCACAGAAATAACCACCAGATAAGGGGAGAGAAGCTACTGCCTCCCCTCCCACTTGGAGCCCATTTCTAACCATCTCTCATTACTACCTACCCTCCACTCTGTGCCCCAACCTGTAATCCCTGTCCACTGACTTAACTCCATCGTGTTTTAACTCATTACACTTCCCCCTCTGCCTGGGGGGTTCCCTTAAGACTCAGCTCAGGAGTGGCCTTCTCCAGAAGCCCTTCCCCATCCCCAACCACCCACATGCTAGGAAAGAACCCCGTGCTGTCCCTCTATCAGTTACCATATTGCATTACGATCAGTTACTTCTGTGACTAGCTGTCTAAGGAGACAGACCTAGACCACAGGCCCCACGCCCTGGGTAGAGTTTCTGCATCTCTGCATTGCAAGCACTGACCCACAGAGCTGGCACACAGCATGCACTAAATGTTTGCTGAAAGAACTAAAAGTAATATTGCTTCCCATCTGTATAGAGTATGGTTCTTTGATCAACTCTCTAAGGTAGATAAGGCAGCTATTTCTGTTTCCACTTTGGAGATGAAGCAATTTAAGCACAAATGAGTACATGACTTAGCCACATTCACCCTGCTCATCAGGGACGGATGATTTCTATAGCTGAGGTTTCCAGATTTTCCTCCAATCACCTTTCCATGACACCAGTACCAACTGTGTTTACGTACATCTGCTGGAGCCACACTGGCCACAGGTGCTCAGCACAGCTCCCTGCCAACTTACTATCCCATTAGATCACATCTACCTGGACTCAGAGCTACACGTTTCTCAGTGAATGTCTCTGGAGAGAAGAGCTATTTGGTTTCCTCTGGCTCCATTCCTTCAAGTCAACTGCCAAAACTCTGAATCCACCCCTCACTCCACCATATGCCTTCACCTGGTGGCATGACTAACATGACATTATCGTAGAAATAAATTCCCACCTTGTAAGGGGTTTCATGACAAGTGCTGAAGGAAAAGGTCTGGAAGCAGTTCCTAAGGAGACTGAACACATCCTGTGAGTGGCTTATGATCAGCCAACTTTCAAACTGCTATTTTCTTCCATTTAACCTCGATAGCTACAATGCAAGGCTTGTCTCCTTCTCCAGGCTCAAGCAAAATAATAAATAAAGCATTGACTTAGCTATGGAGAAATCACCACCACTGCCTTGAAATGAACACTGGGCAAGTATTGGAAGGTTATCAGTTCAATGAGATATTTATTCTCTTGTGCTATGGAGAACCATGTGGGACAAAATGCCTGGAGAGCTTTAAATAGGCATAAAATGTTATAGTTACAACTCTGCACATATTTCTATATTTTACTCAGTTACTTTATAATTTCTTGTAGGCCTATGGAGTTGACTAAATATATCGAAAAGTCAAGTTTATTCTGTAGCCCAGAAGACCTCTCTCCCCACTCACGCTTCAATGATGTCTCTATACAAGGAGCAAGAGAAAGTAAAGGGCAAAAATAATGGCCCAGCCGGCATGGCTTAGTGGTTGAGCATCAACCTATGAACGGAAAGGTCACCTGTTCAAGTCCCGGTCAGGGCACATGCCTGGGTTGGGGGCTCGATCCCCCAGAAGGGGGTGTGCAAGAGGCAAGCCAATCAATGATTCTCATATTGGTGTTTCTATCTCTCTCTCCCTTTTCACTTCCTCTCTCTGAAATCAATAAAAACATATTTAAAAAAAAATAATGGCAGGATGGGGACCTAGGAGGACATAAAAGTCTATTAGGAAGTCTTTGGCAGGAAAAGTTTCTCAAAATGACCTGCAGCAACTGCTGACCCAGACAGTAGGTGGCTGACCCAGGTTTACTTCCAGGGGGTGGAATGTGCTTTCCCTCTAAGACCTGTCTTTGATCATGGGCCCTAATGCACAGCTCTGCCTGTCAGACACACACACAGGAAAGCTGCTCTTCCCAAAAATAACAGGCCATATTCCCTTGTAAATAAAAGCAAGCATCCAATTTTTTTTAAGCTCACTGATGCTACATGGAATCTATGGGCATCAATACAAAGCAGGCTCACTGACGTGTAACTGAAGGGACACTCGGATGCACCCCTATATTGGTTCTATGCGTGTTAAATGAAAAAAAGGGTTAAAGGGTCAAAACAGTAAAAAGTACCAAAGACCTTTAATTTGTAACAAATCAATTGCCTTTTCAAGACACCCCTTTACAACGAAACCCCTTTTGTGAATAGAAAGACTAGCTTGCACTTTTCTACCGCCTGTGGTGAGGCCCAGGGTGCAGGACAAGGGGAAGCAGCCAGTCTGAATTTCATGACCGGTCATGGGTATCCCAGCAAAGGTAATCAGCAAGAGACACCTGGAGAGCCTGTTTCCAACCAGGCTCATAAAATGTAGTTCCCATTCTCCTGGCTCGGTGGGGTTCGGGAGTGAACTTCCTGGCGTCCGGTGGGAAGAAGGCTCCCCCCACCCCCACTCCCAAACAGGCCTCTAGGAAAAGTGAGATGAATTTCTCCACAACCCCTGAAATCCCCCAGAGGGCTGATCTGAACTGAGCTGAGAAGCGCTCACTCTGATCCCTTTGTCGGACTCAATCATTTGTATAACTTTGCTATTCAGTGGGTTTTTCTCGAGTTCCTCAAGGAGATCAAGGACAAAGGGCAAATAAGACTACCTGTGTATGACTGCTTGTCTTCCAATTCTGTTTCTCACGAAAATCCCCATAAAGAAAATGCCCAGGTGCACACTGTTTCCATGATTGTCCTGTAAAGGTGAACAAAAGGTAGCTGTGATGAAACAGATCCCCAGCAGTCTGGCAGCACCCAGCCATGGGCTGCAACAGCCCTTGGGGACCACGCCCAGCTTCTACACCATAAACGAAAAATGAATCACAGCAGCACCACAGCAATCAGGCAACTAGATCCTGAAGGGATGCGCTACATTGCACCTCCTAATGTATTATGTATGTATTTTTCTCAGTTTGTCACGACATATTTCCTGTGTAAAGGAATTTTAGGATTTTCTCAGATTTGTTGGCAGTCCATGAACATCTATTTGTTGGCAGTCCATGAACATCTATTAGTATCTATTTTCACCTTAGTTTTTGTTTCTTAAATCCCAATTGTCCATGCACATAGCCTGATTATACATGCCTATTACCCACGAGCAATCGATTATATATGCACATAGTTTGAAGAATTGAATGTTCTTTAGAGTTCTTCAAAAGAAGCCACGGCAGACCTGTCCCCACAATTTCCTCTCCCTGAGAAGCACCAGATTCCACCACTTAAAGCCCTAGTGTGTGTCTTATAGGAACCTACTAAGCTTGGCTTTTTACTTTAGAGCCTCGTATTCATCAGTTCTGGGATATTTTCTTGAATTACTACATCCTGTTTCCTCTGTTTACTCCTTTTAGAACTCCTATTATTCAGATGTTGAACATCCTAAGCTGGTCCCCTAATTTTATCTTCTGCCTCCCAAGTTCCACTACTTTATTTTTTGGTGAGATTTTCTTAATTTTATCTTCTAACCTATTAAGTTTTCCATTTCTGATATCATACTTTTGAGTCGTTTTATTTTCTGAATGTTCCTTTTTAAAGGCAATCTATTCCTCCAAGGAGGTAATTCATACACATACACACACACGTATGTTTATCTCTGAGACTGACAGGATGGTATCTTTGGGCAGGAAGTTCTTCACCCTACAGGCTCTCTGTCTTCTAGGCTTTGCTCTCATTGTGTTGACCTCTGTGGTTCTTATTAGGGCATCGTGTAGGGTGATGCTTCGCATCATGGCCCAGGTGAGATGCTAAACACTGGTTGAGAGCTTTGTGAACATGGGAGGGCACGTGGACTGTAGACTTCACTGTCCACAATCTGCTTGGCCTGGTGTCCCCTCTCAGTAATCTCTTCTCAGCCCACCCAAGCTAACATGGTAACAGGAGTCTCCTACCGGGGATGGAGAAAGGTAAGACACTGCTGGTGGCCAAAGCAGAAAGAGTTGGGACAGAAAGAACTGGGAAGGGAAAAGGGCACCTTGTTATTATGAGAAACGAAGAGGGAAGTTACACAACAGGAAAATCTACGTGTGAAAAGAAGGCAGGTAAAGTGGAGACGGGAGGAGAAAGAAAACTTCTCGGAAGGGCTGCCTTGGCACTCTCCCAGCAGATCGGCGCGATGCCCCGTGGTGATGGGGACGCAGGAAGAGCCGATCGCCAGGGCGGGGCGGTGGGAAAATCTCAGAACGGATGCCTGAGGCACTGCCCTGGTCAGCACCGAAGGCCTCGACCTTGAACTCAGTCGAGGATCGAGGCTGCAGACTCTGACTCACTCCATAGCGCACTGCCCAGGGCCGCGAGCTCTGACACTACAGGAGGGACCCAGGCAGCCGCCCCACCCGTGTTTGTGGAAGAGGCGGGCAGACCTGTCGGGAAATGAACTGAGCCTTCTCCAACCTTGAGAATTTTTGTGGAAGCACTCACGGAAAAGCCCCCGCTAAGTGGAAAGGTTCTCCCCTGGGATGTATCCCCCATCACCTGGTTTTATACGTATTTACTTGGTCAACTAACCCAAAGGGCCTGCCTGCCTCACCACAGCCTGTCCCTGCACACTGTCCTGCCTGCTGCTTTCCCACTGTCTCGGTGCCGGCCGCGTCACTGCCCCACTGGTACCGCTGACCCACCCATCACCTCTGGGTTGCCAGGAATCATGTGGTCTGTAGGTGGTCACCTTAGTCATGAACAGATATGTGGGGGGGAAGGAAAACGGAAAAAGAAACCCAGCTAATTGACGCCCACAGGCTGTGAGTCAGCAATGCCTGTCTGCCTACTCGCAGTAAGGTACAGTGTCCCCTCTGGACTTTCCCACTAAAGAACATACTGGAAAGCTCATCGGAACCAAGCACAGTGGATTTCAGCACTACCTCCACTGCCCCTGCTTCCCACAAGTCAGAAGCACAAAAAACAAGCAAGCAAATGACCACAACAAAACCCCCAACTTCCAGGGACTGGGAGTCAGTCTTCTAGGAGTGGAGAAAAGTCTACTCTGTTTCCAGGACCCAACTTATCACGACTATCTATGGGCTGCTGAAATGTAAGTGGGATGCAGATGGCTTCGAAGGCATTATTGCAAGGAAAATGGATTACAGCCCTACGAAGGGCGGCCATGAGAGAAGCAAAAGAAAATTAAACAAATCTGAAAAAGAGCCATTTAGCCCTTTCCGCAAGCTGCGGCCACCCCGCGCAATTCCGCTGGATGCACACGGGCGGTTCTCATTAAGGCAAATGGCAAATGCACAACAGAGGAGGAACAGAACACGTCTAAAGCAGGCCGTGGGGCCAGTCTGCAGCGGAGCGTCTGTGCTCAAACGGCAGACGGCTCCCAGACTGCTGAAATGTGCCCGTTGCTTTAGGTTTCTGATAAAAACTCCATCCTTCGCAAAGTTGGTAAGCAGAGAGGGGAAAATGAGTTTGGGTCATGGGCTCAGCTCTATAAACGTCTGTGCACCACAATCCCCACCACACTCACTTCAGGAGGTGGATTTTTTTGCAAAGGAGGTGACACACTGTAAGAGATTCCTGGGTGTAGTTTCCAGAGAGCGCCCACCTCTGAGGCTCTATAGGACGGGAGAGAGAAAGCACGAGTGCGTAAGGGAAATGTTTCACTCTGTGCCAGAAACCATCTCTGTGCCAGCGTAAAAGAAGAGGCGCGAGGCTAAGTATGGGGCAGAAACCTGGGGGGGTGTCTCTATTAGGCACAGGTGACCTCAGCTCCTCAGCTCCTGGTGAGACTGGAGGTGTGCCTTGCTCCCTTCACCATGCAGGATTGGCTGGTGTTTGGCACTCACTCAGACTGCCGAAATCCATGGAAAGATTCAAAATCTCTTAGTTACAAAAAAAATCTTTGCTTTACTCAAGTAAGCTGACTTGCCAACTAATGCCACGTGGCAGACAGAAAGCCAAGCCGGCCTGCTGCTATCAACACTGGTTTTCCAAATGCCCGTGCCCTTCTCAGAAGGCTGACCCAAGGCCAGGCCAGGCCAGGATATGCTACCTTCACAGGGAAGATTTCCTGCCCAAATCCATCCAAACGCTCCACTTCGTTGATGTACATGAGCTCAGCTTCGGCTGGCAGGATTCCACTGAAACCAAAAAGCACGAAAGGAGGAAACAGTTAAGGGCGAACCAAGTCAGGGGAAGATCCCACCCTCCCGATGGCACATTCCAGAGCTGTGGTTTAGCTGCTGTTCTGGGAAGAGCAATCACCACCTAACCATGAGGGCAGGTGCAGGGTGAAGTAACTCATTAACATATTCCCCCGTAGCCCTGTGTTTGCCAGGCAGTAATAAGAGGAAGGTGAAGTATTTAATGAAGAGCCACAGCCCTGTAAAGCCTAAATCATTCTTTCAGACGCCCCTAAAAATAACGCTGCCTGCTTTAAAAAAAAAAAGTTTTTCTCCCACCTGGGAAAAACATCGCAACTATTAAAATTTTAAAGGAAAAAACAATAAAAAGTTTATGAGGCTGATATTTTGGGAGCCAAGTGGCCAAGATGAGAGACCCTAGGACCACTGCACAGACCCTCTGAGGTCGGAAGGGAAGGGTGTCGGTTTCCCATTGTTCCCAAAGAGAAGGGTGCCTGTTTCCCATTGTTTCCGAAGAGCTCCAAGCAGTCCAGACACCAAGCGCTCAGGGCTTTCTTAAAGTCACCACCTTCTACCCTCGTGATCTTCACTTTCCCACCCAAAGTAGCTCTTTTCTGTCGTCACTCTTAGCACAAGCAGTCCAGGCTTCCCAGGCCTGACAAGAGACTTTTAGGAAGGTCACAAAGAAAAATTCTCCCGGCCACCAACTCCACATCTGTGTGGGCTTGCAGGTACGGAGGAAGAAATGGGGAAATATAAGGGAGAAAGAGAGAACAAAAAAAAGACAGGGGGAGAGGGAGGGAGGACAAGCAGCACAGATCTACACACCCCTCTCAGAGCAGAGCTGGACCACAGGCTGGAAGAAATAAAGCTGGGTGGACTCTAGCCAGGGGCTGGGGGTGGGGGGCCAAAAGCCTCCTGCCATGGACAGGACGGCGGCTGTGCGCTGGGCCGGGCAGCCCTGCCCTTGGCAGGCCTTACCTGTGGGCTTTGTGCTCTTGGGCTACCTTCTGTGTCAGCTCCTCCAGCACAGCCTCTTCCAGGGCCAAATCCTATCAAAACAAAACGCAGCGAAGGTCATTTATTATTCTGCTTCCACCGTCTGTAGGCATCCCCACTGGCCTCATTTCCTCAGGCTCCCCTTTACTCCCTTGAACTCAAGGCTGTACTTTTCAGGGGTGGGGGTTCATTTTTACTTTTCTAATGTGGCTCCCCACTGTAAGTTAGCCTATTTTAAAGCATATTTGGGGTTGCCACCTGAATTCTCTAGGGTCTGGGAATAGCTCTTCCTTCATTCACTTGTGTCTTCGCTATCTGCCTGCCTCTCAGACTCACTTTTATTGAAAATGCTCTCTAAATACGTACATGTCTTTAACCAGATGAGTTTCCAGGGCATCATGCCTTCAAAAGCTGAGCTAGGAAGGGACTGTGCCACCTGGCCTCTCTGTCTACCACCACGACACCAGCAAACCAAGTCATAGCCACCTGCTCATTCCAACGTTACTTGATGGAGCCTTTGGGAGTCAAAGAGGCCAGGACAGCTAACATGCCTCCAGGGATATCTGTCAGGTAACAGCTGTGTAGTTGACCAGATGGTGTCCCGGCCAACTGGAACCCAGGCCCCTAGGACTGGTGGTGAGCTAGCTCCCATGGGATTAGAGCCAATTACTCACGTCTCTCCCCAACTCCCCTTCAGTGCTGGAGGGAGTGTTTACAGGGCTTGTTAAACATTTACCAGCAAAGCTCTGTCTGCGATGGAGAGATGGAGTCTAGAGGAATATATCCCAGACAGGGGGACCAGAGAACTGGCTCCTGAGGCATTAACACACAGCAACTCTAGAGCTTGTGGTGGTCTGGGGAGGCTCAAGCTATGGGGCCAGCTGCCTCCAGCCTTCCCAGCACTAAGCAGGGCACAGATGTGCATCACTCTCCTCTGAGCTCCGAGGGGTTGTCAGAAGGGGCCCTGTGCTGTGTGTCCTGGTGAGGCCCTCTGGGGCTCGTCCAAACATTGGGGGTGGGGGTATGCGGCCGATGTTTGGGCAGGAAACATCCAAAATGCCTCATTCTCTTGATTCTAAAGTACCATTTATATAAAGATCACCTCCAATTTAACAACTTTTCATTGATGAAACACTACCCCCAAAAAGGTATGCCTCAAAACTACAAAGAAATATCTTATCTTGAATTATGAAAGTGTGAAACTCAGCATTTTCTAGAGCTGGAGAATGGGAATGTAACTATACCCTGGATTTCTTAGCTCTGCAGATGGTCATGAGAAGCCTTAGAGAAGATGGAGAGAATTACTAGCAGTTCTTATTTTTCATGTGTTAACTGATTAATTTGCCGTTTCCTGTTTAGCCATCCACTGAAATGACTCCAGGCCTTGGTAGGAAACAAGCTCAACATTTTCAGTTTTATGCTGTGGAGTAACAAAGACACCACATGGCTTAGATTTAGCTCTGTGTGTGCATCTAGGCATTGAGTCGTAGGAACACCCGATCCTAATTTTGAAAAGCTAATAAAAGGCCTGAGGCAAATAGAATGAAATAAAATAAAAGATTATGTGAAGATCAAAAAGTGCTCCATTGAACCTCTGCTTCCTTCTTTGAAAGGACGACATGTCCACAGGTACCCTCTGCTATTGTCCTCACTCGACAGCCTCAGTCTGTGTCCCGGCCTCCCCGAGGTATGGGCCCCGCCACGGGGACTGCGAGAGTGGCCCCGTGCCGATGAAAAGTGGCAGCGAGCGTGCCTGTACACAGCCGCACACCTGTGGAGCACCCTGTGTGTTTACCTTTGTTCTTTTCTCTGCTGCAGAAATGCCATTTGACAAATTCGGTTACTTTCTAAGATCAAACACAGCCATTCATCCCAGCTGCCCTCCCCCACCAAAGGAATGCATTCTTCTCTTTGAAAGCTCCAGTGGCACCAAGCAGGAAGTTTACAACCTGCCGTGGCTCCCCACTGCCTGCTCAATTAGGTCAACACCTGGGCCTGGCATTCAGACCACTCCGCTGGGAGGGACCCAGCCTTCCCTTGCAGACCTCCTCTCTCCATGGCTCAAGGGCCCAGGCAAACCCCTTTTCCTAAGACAGGCTGCTTTTACATCTCCACTCACACTTGTGCCGACCTAGCCGGGAGAACCACCCTGACCCATCACACCACATCCTGTGAAATGCCACCCAGTCCTTCAGGACGCCTCTCAGGTACCGTTCCAGTGGCAGGGCGTCCGTATTTCCCGGAGCTGGATGTCAACTTTACCTCCCTGGGCCTACCTGTCCCACTCTGTGTCTCTCTTGGAGCCCTTACCTCGTCGGCCTATGTCTTTCTTACAATTATGTGTACACTCATCGTATCCTCTGTCCTAGTCGCTCTCCCTCTACTGGATTCTAGGCACCCAAGGGTCACCTGTTCTCCATGTCATTTCCAGGGACTATCGCAGGGCTTTTACACAATGCAGCTGATACCCTCTCAATATAAAGTGATCGGTAAATGTTTATTAAACTCAACTCAACATGCAGCATGTAAGTTTCACATTGTCAAACAGGAGTTTTTAGCTGTGCAAAGCCGGTTGGTGACCGAGTGCACCACCTGCCTGCCCTCTGTCTGCTTACAGGAATGTTTTACTGTAAGCACAGTCTTCAGCACCCCTCTCCTTGCACAATGCAAACAGAATAATAAAGCTAGAAGTAACAATAATGATGCTAATGTGATGATGATGGCGGCAACTAATAAACACTGTGAATTTACCACCTGTCAACTAAGCACCTCACAGGCATTCTCTCCTTTGATCTTCATGATCAAACTGGGCTTGTTATCCTCATTTTTAGATGAAAAAAAAAGGTTAAATAACTTGCTCAAGTTCACACAGCCAGTAAGTGGCCCAGACAGGATGTGGGCACAAAGAAGGCTTGACCCGTACACTCGGAACCTCCTGACCACAGTGTGTCAAGGACAAGAGCGGGAGGCGGTGAAGATGCATGACTGATGGCAAGGCCTAGGAATGCTCGTGATTCAGATGTACGTGAGGACGCCAGCTCCTCGCCTCAGGATCTTCAGCCTGCCCCACAGGACTGCCTGCGAGGATGGGGTGTTCTGTAGCCCAGCTTTCTGGCAAGGTAGCCACAAGTCACATATGGCTATTGGGGGCTTTTTCAATAGAGCTAATGCAACTGAGGAACTAGATTCTAAATTTAAATGTTAATTAATTTAAATTTGAATGTAAATAGCCAATGGGTCACTACTAGCTACTACCCTGAAGAGGGAAGTTTTTGATCCAAGAATAACATCAGTATTTGTCTGTCTGTGGTGAGACGGAGCAAGGCCTATGCCGTTTAAATATCAGATGTGCTCAGAGCCCAGTGGAGATAGTCATATCCTAAAAAAAGGCGCGATGCACAAAGTAATGTCTTTACTGCTTCATTCTTTAACTTGCCAAGGCGTTGTACCATCTACAAACGCATAAACATCCTGCTGATAGCCACCTTCGAAAATTCTAAATAGCACCCAAGCAGAGGCTCTGTGATCAAGATGGTTATTGAGAGAAAGGTGGGGGGAAAAAATTGTAGAAAGCTATCAACCTAATTCATTGCTTCCATCTGAGACTAAAACTGCACATGGTCTAAAATTCTAAGGTACGAGCTTCACTTCTCTCCCGCCAAGCATCCTGAAGAACACTCTGGCTTTTCAGGGAGCTTCTGAGATGTCGGAGATGTTGATTCAGGCACATAGACACTAAATCCTGTGAAGAGTCTCTGTGCTGAGTAACACGGTAATCTCTCCGAATGGAGGTTGATTTAACAGTAGATTAGTAAGGCCTAAAAAAGAGCAGGCCTGGCACAGAAAACTGCTGTTTTCTTTAGAGGGAAAATGCATAAGGATAAAGCTATTCATGCAAAGCTAGACATCATGCAGGATTCCCCTAACTTCCAAAAATAAGGTCGGTTTTGGACCAATTTAAATTCATCCCATGCACTGATTATAGGTAATAACTGCCGCCTACCTTCTCCTAGGCTCTCAAAACCTTTGTCACCAGACACCCGACTTTCTCCCTGATGCCACAGCCCGTTAGATACCAAGTTCTACCCATTTTACTTCCAAAACATCTCTTGCTTTGCTTTGTTCACTGCTCACACTTAATTCACATCTCCTGCCAAGAACACCACAACAGATTCTCATCTGACCTGCTGCTCCCACAAACGGGCTCATTGCTCCACTCCAGCAACTCTTAAAGTATGGGGTCTACACCCCCCTGATGGAGCCAACGTGATCTAATTCCTCAGACCTTCAGGTCCCCTCTTGCACCGAGTGACAGTCCGACTGGCCAGCTGCCTCTTACCCACCCTGCCTCTGCTTCCTTGCCTCTGTCTAGGTCATTCCTTGCTCCCTTCCTCTCTGCAATCCTGGCCATCCTTTAAGACGCAGCTCACACACCACTGGCCTGTAAACTTCGGACATCCCCCAAGCACGTGTAACCCTCTCCCCACATAAAATCCTGATGTGCTTTAATACACTTGACCCCGGGTTCGGATTTTACAAACTTCCGATTGACTCAACCACTCCATTGTCTGTCTGAGAACAAGCACTGTTTCTTATACAACTTCGTCCCCCGGGGGTTTGTTACCCAGGTCAGTGCTTTGGGCCAAACAGTGAATCAAAACAGTAAGTGCTGACTGATTACGATTTCCAAAATCCGAGCCAGAACGCTGGAGTGGGCAGAGCTCTGACCTAACAGGGCTCTTCGACTGTCTTAATCCTTTCTCATTAAAACTCTTCTCATTTACCCCAAAACTACCAAAAAAATAAACAATCAAACATTCCCCAGGGATTAAAACCTAGCCTCATCTCTAATTTAACCCAAGAATGGACATTTCGCTTTACAACTCATTCAACGGACTTTTATGAGCACAGGCCAAATGCCAGAAGACAGAGGGTCCCAGCTTGAGGACCATGAAGCTGACATTCTAATCGGGGGTAGGGGGAGAGGAGTTCAGATACTGAGAGCTCTGTTTTTAATCTTCAGAATCAAACTGGTTATAGTCTCCAAAATCACAGTGTAGTGGTAATGGCACNGGAAGGAAGAGGCATCATCTTTTCTTTTTCATTGTTTTACAAAATTGTCCATACTTCACAAATTCATAGACTTTCCTCCCCAGGAAATGTGTGTGTGTCAAATACCCTGAGATTTCCAAAGGAAAGAATTAAACATCCAAAGAAGGCAGAAAATTCATTGAGAAAAAGGACATCATACTTACCATAGGAAACAACACATATTCTCTGAGGAAATCTTGAGAATCAAACTGGTTATAGTCTCCAAAATCAGCTGAAAAGAAAAAAAGGGAAAGGGGTAATGATTTCACTTTTTACATGAAATTGAAGATGGAACAAAACAGGGTGGGCGGATCACATTTATTCTTCCCGCAGCATCCTATTTCTGCACTATTATAAAATAAAACAGTGCCGAGATGTGTTGCTGTTACCATGTTTACTTAGCAGTGCTGTAATACCAGCATGTGAGCAATGCCGCACGATTTTCTAGAAAGAATGGGGGAAATCTGAAAGTGATTCCTAAGCTATTTTTAAAACTTAAACCAAACCTATATTTATCTTCTCGTTAAATACGCTTCAACGCAGACCTTCAGAATATCTGCCAAGGGGACTTTCTAACTCAGGGTTCATTTGGGGACCTGAAGAGCCAACCCCATCTGTCTCTCTTCATATATTTGCAGCTGGAAATTCCCACTGTAAATCACCCTTGGCAAGCAACCCTGCAAATCTTTATACCTCCTACTAAATGTCTTCACAGGCTGCAAGATGCCAAAAATTCTGTTTTGTCCTGTTTTCATCTCACCATCTCACCATGCTATGTCTGAGCCTGTGCAAAAGGAACACAGTGAGCCTGTATCACAGATCTATAAATCTATTGCTTCTGGTTCCACTTACTCTCCAAAAAGAATCAAAGCAACATGAAGTTTAATTTCACATAAAAGATTTAGCATCAGGTAGAAACGGATTCTGGTAACTTTGAGATAACAAGAGACAGTGCCAGGATCCACACAAAAGGCCAGTGGGGAGACAGTTCCCAGAAGGCGAAGATGCACAGAGCTGGTTACCAACTAGGGGAGGCCTTCGGGGGTAGCCAAGATCACGTGCTCAGCCTGTGTTCAAGTCTGGTCCTCAGTCATCATATTTCATGGGGAGGTATCTCTGCTGATGTGTCTTTCTAATCGCCCACTAAGGCTCACGGGAAAATGATTTTACAAATGTTGCAGCTACAGCAGCTTTCATGAGACTGAAGAGGGGTCAGTGAGAAGGGAGTCCAGAGTAAGTCCACCACCTTCCTTCAGCCTAAAAGCTATCGCCGGGCTCTTCCCCAATCCAGGATGCTGGCAATAAGCCCAATGACTGAAGAGTGGCGGGAGGGGGGGAAGAGAGGAAATAAAATAAACAGAAAAGAAAGCTTTTTCAAAGGAGAAAGATCCAATGTGAAGAGGAGGGACATACAGGCTCTTCTCTCTCTTCTCCCCGCTAAGGCTGTCTTTTCCCATTATTTTAATGATTTTCTGTTATAACACACTGCTTATTCTGTTACATTGTTCTGGGCACTGTTCCTTCCTTTTCCGGTCTTTAAGTGGACAGATGGGACACAACGTGTTCTCTGTCCTTCTATCCACAGGGTAACAACAGAAGCGAACGAGGCATTGTACAGCTAACAGAAACCACTAACCTGCTAATTCCCTGGAATGAAAGAGGTCAAGGGAAGGCTGCCTCTATGGACATTTTGGAACCCAAAAGATTCAACTGCAGTTCAGAGTTTGGGATGGGAAGTTCATTCACAGCTTCTAAAATAACAGCCCACACAGCAAGGACTGGCAGGTTAGCTAACATCTGGACGTTAACTGATTTTAAAGAAAATAATGACTGAAAGGAAAACACGTTTCTCTCTAAAAATTATACTGTCAAGTTTTCAATATGACTCAAGACAATTAAGCTATCACTCCATAAACAGTAACATGGAAATACATGTAAAAAATTATGTAACATGTTATATAAGTATATGTAAAAAATATGTGCAACGATTTAGAGACGATAAAAAAGAGCTGTCTGATACATCTAAGTAGGCTAGGTCGAAAGATAAATGTAGCCCAATACCCGTTTGTTGTTTCACATTACAACTGTGCATTTTCAATTTCTCTCTTTCACTGTATAAAGAATAAGTTATACTGTGACGTTTAAAGCTCTCACACTTGAAACTGATGTGAAAGTCACGCAGCCACAGCAGCAAGCCACAAAGTATGACCACATTGGGCAGTGGAATAATTCTGAGAAAATGTCCCACAAACCCTGAAATGTAGCTTTAATTAAAGGCAGGATGAAAGGGGCTATTCTTTCAAATAAAACTGAGATTGTACAAGCAGGGGCAATTTGCAAACAGCTCTGAGAAACCCACCATCCTGCCGCACACATCACTTACTCTGCATTTTTAACGTAAGATATCTTGACATGAAAAGGGAGAGTTACTAAGGGATCTTTAAGTAACTTTCACGTTTCCTTCCCAGAGCCGGCAAATAGACGATGGGACGCCCCACTCCGGTCATCGCTGTCTCTTACCTTGCACAGCTAGGCCGGCCAGCCGAATCACCTGTTCCAACGTGCACCGCAATCGCCCCTCGAGCACGTCTTTTTTCACTTGCAGGTAATACTGATACCTGGTTCATGGGAACAGAGGAACAAATAACCCTAAAAAACACATACTTGGAATACAGTCCCACAACACCGACGTCTCTTGATGTGAAACCTTGTGTCCACAGCAGGATACACAGGTGATGCTGATAAAGGTCAGCGCTCTGAAAGGTGGGAAGTGACCCCTGCCTGTGTTTATCTTCGTTTGATGTGGCAGGTGCCACATCCCGTTCATTCTGAGCTGGAGAGCATTCTCATCAGATCATCCCATTGTGGGCCAGCAGCATGAACCCCTGATAAGGACCAGTTAGTTCTTCATAACAGGGACCGAGAATGAAAGTGCTTTTCCACACCTGGGCGCCCACACAACACAGCCGCCAGAGCCACATTCAACAATGTGCTTCCTGAATGAGTTCTGGAAACACACCTTTTTTTTTTAACTCAAAAGTTTGGGTAGGATAGATCACAAATAGGCCGAATACTTGGAATTCTGCTAATGAATGGGATAAAACTCTTCAGAGCCAGGCTGGCCTGACGCATCTGTGACTCATAAAAATCGAATCTAATGCAATACTGAGCCTTCCAACCCTAAGTTCATCCTCAAACCAGCAAACTGCAGATGGACAGAATGTGTCCATACACAATCTCAAACCTCAGGCTAGACCAGTGTTCTCAGCAGCTAATACAGTGTATTGTTTCCTTGCCAATAAAACTGCACTCTGAGAATTACTTAAACACTTAGAAATCTCCTCACCCCAAACCTTTATTTCCCAGGACTCCACTTCCTTTGACCACCCTCTTAAAATACAGTCACCTCTACAACGGTCAGGCTCTTCCAGCATTAATTCTTGGCCAACACGAACCACCTTTTTGCTCCTGGTGACCATATAACTCTGTCTTTTTCTTAACTTTGGCATGCCAGGCAAGGCAAGTCTGGAGTGACCCAAAGTCCAATTCCTTTGGAGAGAGGCAATCGGCACTGAGAGCTACTTATGGCTGGCCCTAGCTTGACATGGATATCCTTGCATAGCGACCTGATGCCTGTTGGAGGGAATGACCAGGCTGTCTGTCCACTGCCGTGTTATCTGTACTTATTTCCTCTTGGGTCCTCTGGACAGGGTAAATACAACCACGTCAGTCCTTGGTGGGAAAAACCTATACTAAATGAGAAGGACCACCACTGGGAGTCCTTTAAAAATACTTTTTAGTCAAACTTAATACACAGCCCCGGCCTGTGTGGCTCAGTTAGTTGGATATCATCCTGCACCGAGGGGTTGCTGGTTCAATTCCTGGTCGGGGCACATGCCTGGGTTGCAGCTTGATCCCTGGTGGAGGGTATGCAGGAGGCGGCTGATCAATATTGTGCTCTCACATCGATGTTTCTCTCTCCCCTTCCTCTCTCTCTAAAAATCAATTTTAAAAAAAAACACAACTTACTACATAACAGAAAAACAAACTATTTTGCCTACCTCCAACTCACCTTTCAACTAAAATATTCATGATCATTTTACAGGGTCCACTAAGGGATGGACACTTTTACTTCCAGTCCACACCGCTTGACTAAATCCACTCATGTATATGCCATACTTTCTAAGCCCTTCCCGTGTGTATAAGTGGGCGCGAAGCCGGGGGACACCCTGGAAGGGTCTGAGACAGGCGCCGCCTGGCAGGGATGCTCATTACCTCCTGACCACTGCCGTCGTGTTTTTCCATCTAGAGCACTATTAAGGGTTCAATTTTTAAGAACCGACGAGTAAAACATTCTAAAAGGTGTTATCCTGGCACTATCTGCCATATCCTGGCACTATCTGCACTAGAGCCTTTTTATGTGTCTCCTTGGAGGTAAAAATGATCAGCTGATACCGTTGGGAAAAGGCCATCGACTCATTAATCCACAGGATCCAGCAAAACAATAGTTCTAAGTGCTCTCGCCCTGCTGGCCCCAAGTTCCCCCTGCAACTATTGTTTCTATAATTCATGAGCAACTACCGTAACAGAACATCCCATCCCAGGCAACAGTGAATGCCTACCCACCAGGAGGGACACCAGGAGTGCTCCTGGTCATTCGGGCTGGATGGAGGTTGCACTGGGGTACAAAGCCGAGGAGCTGAAGGATGCAGCGCCCTTTCCCATGAGCCACCCAGACAAAGAGCAACCCGAGCGGCATTAATGATACGGTGCGATGACCCCACGAGCTTGGGAATATCACTTCAGGAGACTGCAGAAATGAGAATGGAATTTGGGCCACTTTGGAAACTACTACATTTTTGCTCAAAAGGCACTTTTATAAACTATAATAATTCTATGCTAGATGAAGACTAAATTGGAGAATGTGAGCTGAACTTCTATTTCTAGCATGCTTGGTTTTTGCTTATTTCTGATTAGCAATTCGATTCTAACAGCAGGAGAATGGAAGAGCCGATCCTATTTTGGAAACATGCAATTTCATGGAAGTATACTCCACCCTGTCACAGCTCCGGGTGGAGGGGAAACGAAAAAAACCTGTTCCTCGTGCCAGGAAAGTAAGCCTTTGCCAACTTTCCAAAGGGATGCTCTTTGAAAACTCGAGTTCACAAGGAAAACCTTTTCATATTTTTCATATTCAGAGACCTGGAAGTCATCTGACTGCTGAGGTCCAATGACGGGTTTGAGGTTAGGACTCTTCCCACCCTTTAAGAACTGGTGACCACAACGATGCCTGTCGAATAAAGGTAAAATTTCTATACTCAAAGGTTTTTGTTTCGTTATGAATCTACAGAGAAGATTCATTTGTGGGTGAAACGCAGGTTTCTATGAGTGAAACAGAAAAGCCTTGCTGGTGATCAGTGCCACCAAACTCTACCACTAGAACAAAGAGTTACCATGAATCAGTCTCCGAAGTCTCATCAATCTGGACTATTTCTATCCACTCTCAAGAAAATAAGTGACTTTTCCGTGTTCCTTCCTCCACCTATGATTTTGAAAAGGAAGTTTTAAAAATGCAGCATCAGGTGAAGTCAACACAGAGCATTTATCCATTTCTGACAGTGGTATCCAAAAACTTTCCAAATTCCACTCCATAGCATTGCCCTCAACGTCTACAGATGCACTGCTAGGATCTCCAACCTCTCTTTTTAATTCGCACGTGAGGAATTTAGCTAAGCACTTCCTCAGCTCCGTTTTACTTGCAGGTCTGTTAATACTTCTCGGGCTGAGAAATTCCACATCTGAAAGGCATGGACTGTGCGACCGCAGGACCCCCAATAAGACGTGAGGCACTCAGAGGCCGAGTTTGTGTTGGCTTTAAAATATTTCTCCCACCCCTCCCCCATGAGTGAAATATTCATTCCAAGTCCAGTTCAGCAGAAGTGCCTCACACAGGGCATAGTCAGGAAAATATGAAAGCCCTCAGATCTGATTTTGGTCATGCTTCCACCCAAGGACTCAACATCCTGAGCACAAGTCACAGGACAGTGGAGACAGGAGGGTGGGAGGCGATAATTACTGTTCCAAATATTTGCTGCTGCTTCTCCACGGGGCCTCCCCTCCGAGAGGGTCACACCTGCCTATCTCATTGACTCTGACTAGCTTTGGGGTCCTCGAAATGGGGGTGGAAGTGACATGTGCCACTCTCGAGCGGAACCTTCTGACTGCATGCGTGCCAGGTTCCCATCTCCGTTTCCCCCGCCCTGAGACCTGCAGCGTCCAGGTAGGGGCTTCAGCTCGGTTAGCCTGAGCCAGGGAAAGAGGGCAGTGGACACGGCAGACACAGATGTGGGCAAGAAATAAGTATTTGACCTTGAAAACAACAGAGGTCTGGGGGTCAGTCGCAGCATGAGTTGGCCGAATTTATTTAATAAGGAAAGGATTTCAAAAGGTCCAACCCTTTCGTTTTTAGACAAGGGAACTGCGTTGAGGGAGAATGGCTTGCCCAAGGTAACACAGCCTTGAAGGTGGGCCAGATGGACCAGAGCGGGAGCTCTTTCTCTGCAGGGCAGCCGCCCAGGCGATGGGAGTGGGATCTGATTCCCGGCCATCAAAGGCAAGTCATCAGTTTCATGGAAGTCTAAAAATAAACATGAAAATAAAAACACCACTACCTGGTGCTTTTTATGATCCAATGCTCCTAAGAAAGGACTTCACTAACCAAGCTGCCCTTCCTCGCCCATCAGATTGTCTGGGCTACAGTGTACGAAGCATACACTGACATGGGAAACTGTTCTGTTAAAACCCCAAACAGGACACATTTCATAAGCTGGCCCATGGGTAATTCAGATCTGTTTTTTCTCAAGGCAACAGCCTCTGAGAGAGTTCTCTCTCCTCCCCCAGAGGTAGAGGAAGGGAAAGAAGATGGAACCATGTATCCTAATTACTTGTTAACAACTTTATGAGACGTATAGAAGGATAAAGTAAAATCTAGAGATTGAGGTCTCTGATTGGAGGCTCCTGTCTAGAAGGACAGGCTATGACCAGAAGCAGGTGCAAACTGGGCCCATAAGTGTATGCATTTCCAAATGCAGATTTTTAAAAAAATAAACAGCCGTTCATCAGTGTCCCCACACAGTCTTTACTGACTCTGGCATTGAGTAAAGATACTTCTGTATCATGGGTCAAAGTTGACCAGGCTCCGTTCTGTTGCTACCGTAACACTTGAAGTTGTATGGCCAGCACACACTGCCCATCCATGACTCGCTTTACCCATTGCCCAGGGGATCTGAGACAAAAAGCAAACGCTCTTTCACAGTTAAAAGCAGGCTAGTGAAGGCGCTGTGTAAGCTGTAACCACAGACCTGCCGTATCAGTGCTATTATCAGGCAGCTCAGTCTGCCTTGCCTTCTCTGCAGTTCAAGGTTGGTCAAATCAACTTATCTCTGCCCATGTGCCTGGTCAGTAGAGATGTGACAATTTAGAGAGAGGGGGCATATCAATACCACCCTTAAATTCCTCAGTCTGTGAAGCCTTTCTATAAAAGTACTGGGGTGAGAGGGGGGAGAAATTTTTTTTTACTGTTATTAAGAAAAGGGTAAGAATATTTTTTTAATTGATT